TGGAGGGACTATGTTTCTGTGCTGGTCTGGGAACACCTCGGGATTCCCCCGGAGGAGCTGGACCAAGTGGCTGGGGAGAGGGAAGTCTGGGCCTCCCTACTGAAGCTGCTACCCCCGTGACCCGACCCTGGATAAGCGAAGAGAATGGATGTTTGATATTCTTGTGGAAATGCCGCAGGCTGTACAAGAAGTGCTACAGCTGGTTGCTGCTGCTTTTGGGGTCAGCAACGAACCACAGAAAATTTATATTAACTGCGTAATTTTAAATTGATGGAGTGGTGGCGCAGAGGTTAGAGAAGGTGGGCCTGTGATCAGAAGATTGATGGTTCAACTCCCGATACTGTCAACATCAAAATGTGGGTGGGATAGGTGAAGCACCCACACCTGCCTCCACCCTCATTTGCCCCATGCTGGGCCCTTGAGCAAGGCTCTTAACCCCCACCATGTGCTCCCTGGGTGTCCTAGAGAGCAGCTCTCTGCTCCACACAGAGGCTGTAGTAGCTCGGTGTCCGTGGTCGTGTCAGGAAGGACCTCAGTTGCCAAATCTTTGTACAAGTTGCTTCACTGCGTCGGCCCCTGAAGAAGGGAGCAGCCGAAAGAAGAAGAAAAACAGCGTAATTTAAACGGACTGTAATAGATTCACAAACAGCCATGAAACTTTGAGATGAGATTTATTTTAGGATGTTCATAATTCACTTTGGACTTGGTCCCACTTGGCCTAACCTTTAGATGATCAGTTCTCTGTTTCTCCAAGCTGTGCTCACTGAAAGAGCTGTAAAATGTCAAGTGCATCATTTTCAGTATTTATAGAAACTCCTGATGGTTTCAAACGCAGCACATTCTCTGACATATTTCATGCTTTGTTTTTATTTTCAAAGGAAGAACATGTATTCTGGACAGGAAGCCCCTCAGATGAACGGTGACACCCCTCACGATAAAGGACATGGAGGAGGTGCAGGAGGAGGAGGAGGAGGACATCATGTTGGAGAGGAGCTTCAGCGAACAAGAAAGTAATTCCTTCTAGAAAGGATTTAGGATGCGACAGAATAAATTCTAAAACCACCTCCTGAGACATCAGCTTACGATGTGCTTTTTAAATGTTCACATGAAAACTGTAACTTAAGCCAGCCGGAGTGTTGCAGATGAAGGTTAAGCTCATGTTGATAATCCAGATTGTATGTGAGAGCCGTCAGTGAAGATCTGCTGGACATTTCTTCTCCTCTTGCTAAGGCCACTTTGTGTCTGTTCTGTGTAAAGAAGATGAACTCACTCACTTGAATGAATGTGTCATGAAGGTTCTGTGGAGGTCTCATCCTGGATGTGAAGAGGAAGCTGCCATTTTTCGCCAGTGACTTCTACGATGCTCTGCATATCCAGTCTCTGTCGGCCATCTTGTTCATCTATCTGGGCACCGTCACGAACGCCATCACGTTTGGAGGTCTGCTTGGAGATGCTACTGAGAACATGCAGGTAACCCCACTGCCACACACACATCATTCTATCTTCTTTATTAAAGGGACACTTCAGACTTTTTTAGGGTGTGCTTCTGCAGAACGGTTATGAACAATTAGTTTGTCAGTCTGGTCAAACTGGGCCCGCTCAAAGATGAATGCTGTCATGCTGACACCACCTCCTGGCTAGCTTCTGTGGTTGTAGTTTGTCCTCTCAGTTTGTTTTCATTCAGTGGTGTGGGAAGTTTTTGACGGTGCACAGCAGAGGATTGGCAAGGCAGCTGCGTAGGTCATGAGCTGCATGTTTTAAAATGCCCTATGACAAGCCTTTTGTGTATTTATTCAATATCTCTGATATCAAGCATCATTTTCTCACACGAGCTAACTGAGTTTACTGAGAAGCTAAAGTGTTAAAGTTTTTAGTGATTTTATCATTTCACGTCAGAACCATTATTCCATTTCTGTTTAACAAGTACTGACATGGTTCATAACCTGCAGGTCATGTCTGCGTTTAAAGTTCAAACGACCTGAACGAGACGCAGACCATCCATTTGGTTTGTTTGTGTTGTTGCACCTGCCATACGACTGACTGACATACTGCATCCTGACTAAGGCGTGCCAAAACACCCCAAAGATGAATAATTACAACTTTCAGATGAATGTGAAACAATAGAAGAAGCTTTGAAGAGTATACTTATTAAAAATGAAAGTCACATTTTTTAATGGTTGTAAAATCCAGGTTGTAACCTGTGACCAGTGTGTTGAGTTGGAGCTGACTAATATCTGGACTCGGTTGTTTTTTGCTCCATCATAGCTTCTCGTTAAACTAATTTAGTCTCGTCAGCTTCTTCAGGGCTTAGAGACTCATACCAGCACGATCTCTTGAGCCAAGTGTCGAGTCCTTTCGAGAGTAGTTTCCAGTCTTTGTGTGATGGAGGACACAGTTTGCTGCATCCTTCCTGGTGCCACCCCCACTCCTTCCATCACTTCTCTATATAGACTCATGTTTGTGCTGCTGTTTTTGTACTACTAGTGCTTAACATATTCTAGTTGATGCTGTTCTTAGTTCATATCTTAGATCTTATTAATGTTTCTCTTTTACATTTTATGCTTTTCTTGGATGAGACTGGGACCCTGTGTGCACAATGTCACGTGTACCACATGCACCACATGTACCACGTATACCACATGTACCATGTGTACCACATGCACCACATGTACCACGTGTACCACATGTACCACATGTACCACGTGTACCACATGTACCATGTGTACCACATGTACCATGTGTACCACAT